TGAGGAAGTTATGATTTTTCGAAGTTTCAGCTTAGCAGTAGACAGCTAAAAAACTCGAATTTTAGATCGAGTAATTTTTAGCCGACACAACCTAAACGAGAATCGAAGGTCTCGTAAATAGTAGTACAATGGTAAAATGACAGACGAAAACGGACGTCGGATGAAGAAGTTATGAACTTTTAACGGATTTCCTGTCCCGGTCTATTAAAAGTAATAATATAAAAATTAAAGTCAAAATTAGCCGATGAAGTCTAAACGAAAGTTGTAGAGCGTAATTTTACCTACGCGTGCATATAAAGAACGTCAAAAACGGAGCTCGTATGCGAAAGTTATGGATTTTAGAAGTTTTGGCGCGAAAATCGAGAAATTATTTAAAAATCTGAGAAATTTCGCATAGGCCACGTCACCTTCACTGTATGAGTGCCACGTGTCCGAAATCGGTGAGTCATGCGAGCCACGTGTCCGAAACCGCTGAGTCATCCGAAGCGGTCCACTGAAAATCCGACGCGTGCCCCTTTCCTCGTGTCCGAGCCTTCGCAGGACTTAGTGCCTATTTTATCTTCAAATATGTTGGGTAAAACATGGGTAGATAAAGGATGAGGGATAATAGTACAGTATAGATGTACGTTAGTAGCTATGAATTTAGTACAGTATAGATGTACGCTGGTAGCTATGGATTTAGTACGTTGGCAGCTATGGACTTAGTGCCTATTGTATAAACCTTGGCGACGATGTGACTTCGTGCCTATTTGACATAAATTGTTGAGGGAAAAGCAATGTTGTCACCCTTTGACATAAATTGCTGAGAGAAAAGCGATGTTGTCACCCTGATGTTTGTTTGACATAAATTGCTGAGGAAAGCAATGTTGTCACCACATTGGTTGTCTTATTTGACATAAATTGCTGAAGGAAAGCAATGTTGTCACCTTATTGGTTGTTTTATGTTAGGTTGTTTTATTTGACATAAATTGCTGAGGGAAAGCAATGTTGTCACCCTGATATTTGTCTTCTTTGACATAAATTGTTGAGGAAAACAATGTTGTCACCCCATTGGTTTGTCACCCCGATGGTTACCTTATTTGACATAAATTGGTGAGGAACCTCCGAAGCAATGTTGTCCCCCTAATGAAAATCCTTAGGCTAGGTCCCTTGTGATAGTTGTTTTAGGGACGTAAAGTGAGGATAATGGGAATGGATAATTAGGGTTGCTTTTGGTTGATGAAATTAATAAAATTATTGTTGATTGATAAACTTAATAAGTTTATTATTTATTGTGGGTTGAAAACCCTATATGCTCACCAGGCTTCCAAGCCTGACCCACTCAGCTTTTTATATTACAGGTAGTGGATCCCGAGCATAGTCGGATGATGATGAGTGATTTATGGATTATAGGCCAGTAATTGTAAATAACTGTTGTAAGGCTTATAATGTCTTGTTTATGCTTTTGATTTGTATCGGAACATGACATCCCGAGGTTTTGATATAAAAGGAAATTATATATTTCTTAAAGAAAGGTTTTGATAAACTTTTATCATGTTTTGCTTTCGGAACAAATTCCGCAACAGCTTTTAAAAGGATTACTCTGATTTTATTTTAAAAAGCATAAAATAAATCGGTCTTTTCTGGCCGAGAAATTAGGGGATGTCACATTAAGCCTCATTATCTTCTCAATACCTTTTTCCCTCGTCAGCCTCCATCTCCCAATTCGTCCCTAGCAAACCTTAATCCTTTGTGTAAGCCTTTTTGAGGTTGAGAGTGCATTTTTTTGTGTTCTTGAAGGAAGAAGAAGGAAGTCGAACCATCTTGGAGGCTCAAGGCATCTTGGATCCAAAAGTGTTTCACCCTTAAGCATCCTTTGAAGATATAAAGTTTGAAACTTGATGAGTTATTTGCTTAGATCTTGCTAGCATTGAGTTTGTGTTCATATGTAGTCCCATAAGGTTCGTGTTAATGAGTATGACTTACTTTAGCCAGAAGAGTTGTCCTTTCAAAACGTTTTCAGGTGCAAAGAACCATAAAAATGTGATCTTGGTCCTTCTATCCCTTCCATGAAAGAGTTATGATGTCTTAATGCACTACTAGAAAACAGACCTTTAATGACACGCTATTTACGACACGCACTGATTAATGATACACAATAGTGTGTGCCCTAAAAATAATGTTAGATCTTTATAAATTTGAAGAATTTAGGACGCGCATTTGTGCATGCCCTAAAATTTGTGTCGCAACAAAAAAAACACGGAGGGCGCTTATCAAAAAAAGTGTGTCGTATAAGGATGCTGTTTTATAATTTTTGTAGGAAACACGCGTTCTCTGTTAATAACAAATGGGGGAAACGAAATCTCAAAAGTTAAAAACCCTGCCTTGTGTTCTTCTCTCCCTTGTTTTCACCAGTCGAAAATCCCTTCTCCTTACAAGCCCTACGTTCGATTGACATAGAAGCAGGTTCGATTCTTCTCTTATATGTTATCTTGAGCTTGATTTTCGATATTAGAATAGAATGTAGGGGTTAGTTTTTAACTATACTAAATTCCACAAACTCGCAGGAACCATTCTTGCTAGGGCTTTTTTCAAGAACGAAACTCTCGGTGTTCTCTGGCCTCTGCGACAATCATCGATCTCACCGTGCCGGCAACCTCTTTGGTTACTCTTCCTCCGACAATGAAATTGAAATAAATGGTTCAGGTTCTTGTTTATTATACACATTATACATCGACACATTCATAGACCCTCTATCTGATTCTCTCGATCGTTGGTTCTTAAGCGACGAGTCCTCTCCAATCACCGCTGTTAGGCATGGCCTCCATGTAAAGCCACCACCGGCAGAAGACCGTCGCATCCCATAGCTACACCGGAGACCTTCGACCTCTCAGCTACAGGTTCATTTTTCTTCCATTTTTCCTAGGTTTCATTCATCTTTTTTGTTCATAATATTCCATGGTCTTTCTCGGTTGCTGATATCAAGAATCTATTTGGTGAATTTGGAGTTGTAGCAAATATTGAGGTTTAATTCCTCGCATCAGACATTTTTTTTTAATTGTTGTTTGAGTTTGTTTGTAGTGGTTGGCATACGTAATCTATATGTTCGATCTATTCAGTCTTTGCAATTAGGGTTTCAAAACATTTTCGCAGTTTGTCTTATTCGTTTGATTAAGTTTTTGTGGATTTGAATCGATCTGTCTAAACAATCGAGTGATTATCCATCCATTAACTTTAATTCAATGTAGAAGTAAACTTGTTAACACTATTAATATATTCGTAATGCATCTTCACCAGATTTTGATTGGCCTTTAACTTGATTATATTAGATTTTGTTTTGATCAAGTGTAAACGAAAATTGCTGCCTTTTTTTGTGATAAATGAGCAACATTGATTGATGCTTTTTGTGTATCCAATTGGTTTGCTACTCCCAACAGTTTCTCATCTTTCTCACAATCTAAATTTTTTCCCCAAACAACTTGTTAATTATACCTATCTTTCTGATACAAATGATAAATCAACTCTCACAATTGTTCACATTCAAAGTTCAAACAATATCTTCTTCCACTTGGCTAATTTTGAAGTTTTTTTTATCATATAGCTTCATCTTTCAAGAGTATAGGTATTCTATTTCAGTATCTTGCATGTTTGTTCATGTCTAATTTTCAATTATCACATTTTTCCTTGTGGTGTGCAGTTGAAATGTGAAAATTGTAGAAAGGTGACTGAGAAGGAGACATGCGTGAGCCTGAACGAGACACTTCCTCTACCAAAAAAGGGTACCACTAATCTTATCCAAAAGGTTATCTATCTATCATCTCTTTGCATTTAAATCAAATTCAAAGTGATACCATTTTCAAAGAAAGTAAATGATGTAGTTTATTGTTTATGGTGTATCAATGTAAGTTCTGTAAAAGGGAAGGAACAGTGAAAATGATACATGTTCGAGGGTCTCCACTCACTAATGAGTTGAGTGATGGAGGAAAGGAGTCCAAATAACTATCTCCATGTGATATACATCAAGAGAGAAAAGCTCCAAGTATCAATATCATTAAAAAGTTGGTGCTATGAGTGTTTTGGATGGTAGGATTTTAAGATTTATATGATTATCAGTTTATTCATAAAAAGTTAACTTATTGGTTCTTATTCATCTTGAATCCAGTAAAAACTTGAATCTGTTGGTTATTATTCATCTTGGTGATTGGTTGCGGAAAGAAATGGGTGATGCAGGTATCTAGAAATATGAATATGATATTGATGTTTGGATTAGATTTTTTGATTACTTACAAAAAATGATCCAAATTATTGGGGCCCATGTCTGCTACTTTGATGCAGAAGCAAACTTGGAGCCATATTTAGACAGTGACATGAGAGAGCTAGACAATGACTAGTAGAAACATCCTTGGGTATGTTTGATTAAATTCCATTAATTACTAATAAAACTTAAAGAACTATTTGTATTATTCATTTCAATGTTATTATAATGATGATCAGGAGCTATTTCCATGTCTTTCTCTTTGACAACAACCTCCTGCTTTGAAGGTGTTTATTGATACTTTTTAAAATCCACCAACCAACTACATTTTAGAACAAATTTTGTTGTATTTATTATAACTAGGCTGAAAATTTAATTGAAAATTCGAAATTTTGAATTAAATTCGAAGACTTTGATATAAAAAAAAAACTATACATTAAAACATCGAAAGCCAAAAGTTTTGACAAGTATGGCTGGTAAAACTTGTTTGAGAAAGTTAATGTTTTAATACTTGTTGCTTCTTTTGGATTTTAGGTCGAATGAGTTATATTTGAAGCACAAGATAAAGGAGATACAAAGCTAGATACTAAGAGTAGAGGTCTGTGTTTGGTTCCCATTTCATGTACTGCTCAAGTTACAATGAAAATAATGGATTAGGTCATTAGACTATTGTTATGTTATATTGATATAAATTAGTGATTCTTTGAGTATTACCCTATATGTTAGTGACAATATTATTCTACTTATTGTTGTAAGCAAGTTGAGTTTTAACTTAAGTGATGCTTTTGTGTTTTTAATTTATTAAAATTAATTAACTTTTTATTATTTTATATTTAATTTAAATTTATAAAAAATAATTAATTTCAAATATAAATGATAAGTAAAATCATTGTAAGAATCCCACCTGCTGCTTTTGTTTCGACTGGTGCAACTGGAACAGGGGAAAGCTCTACTTATCCAGGTAAGCCATAATTGATTTTGTATTTTTGTTTGAGTGTTTGATTTAACTTTGATTATTTGGTAATGCTTCTATGGACAATAAATTCAAAGTTAAGGTTCTGAAATTTCGTTTGATGCTTCTATGGATAAGAAATTCAAGGTTAAGGTTCTGATTTATTTTCAAATATAAATGACAAGTCTTGATTTAACTATGGATCAATCATGCACATCAAGTTTAAGGTTAAGGTTTTGAGATTTCATTTGATGTTTGTACTCTCTCTCTCTCTCTCTCACTGTGTGTGTGTGTTTTTCTTGCTAAATATTTTTTAAAAATTTCTTTTTATTGATAATCTCAGTCTTTATCTAGGTCAAGAAATTCAAGGACGTTTGGTTAATCAGCCATTTGCAACTTTGGGAGAAGGAAATGCAGCGACATAGTCGACTGTTGCAACTTTGGGATTCTGATTTCAAGATAAGAGGATGGTCACCAGAGGAATACATGCTCTTAAGCGAGGTAGACTAGTCATGCAAGTGGATGATACTTGGAAATCATAAATTCTTCAGGTATTCTTGTATGATAAGATTTCTTTTTACAAGGTGGGACATCTACTCGCTCTCAGTTTGTCGTCTATGCAAAAGACGTTAATGCCCTCCTCATGGTCAACATCGAAAATAGCTCTAGAAGGTTTTTTTATTTGAATCTTTGCCACAAACCAGTTGTATATCGTTTTGAAACAGGCATCAGTTAAAAGATCAATTGTTATCAACATCTTTGGACTCAAATACACCAACACGTATCTTGTTGAAAGTAGCTGCATTGTTGATTGATCCCAAGCATCAATGGTCTTGTAAGATAGCCACTTATCTTTTGCAACAGAACATATATAAGATTTTTCGGGAGATTGTTATTACAGGAAGGGTATGTTAATATGTTAATATGTTTTAGTTTTATAAAATCTGCATCCTGTTTTAGTCTTATCTTGTCTTTTACTTGTTACATTTTTAAATTTTATTATGAAAGTTTAAACCCCATTTCCACTATCTTTGTAGGCTCCATTGCTGGTTTTAAACTGGTTTTAAACTGGTTGAAGACCATTCATCATCTTTTTGTATGGCTATGGATATGGTTGCGGCTGCTTTTGAGTTTAAAGCAAGTTCTTGATCTTGAATGTAACGAGACCCATACTATCGCCATCTGGAACCCATGGCAGACGTTCTCCAAATACCTTCCTTTCTTTGGAGATACACAGGCTTTTTGGTGGGGTCCGCCAGTACGGATGAAATCATATCAACCTGTGTCATTGATGGTGTTGTTCCCATTGAAACCGGAAGTTTTACCAGGTCAATTTTCACAGATGAAAGTGCGCTTTTTAATGTTGTTTCATAAAATACATCATTCACAGTCTCTGCTCTGAGATCCACAATTTTCTTGTTTATGAAAAGATTGTTATAATAATTTGTTTACTGGTATATATTTGAGTTTGAATCTTGATATTATATCTTTTAAATGATGTCAGTGGAACAAGTGCATTGGTCATTTTTTTTAAAAAGTTGTGTCAGGTAGACATTACAACTTCTGACTATGATGATCAAGATATTGAAGAGAATATAGCTCATAATTGCAGGGACTGCATGTCAAGCCAGCAACAGACTTTGTTCATGAACAACTAAAAACTGTAAGTCCATCAACACAACATTATACTTATAAATGAGATCAAAACTAGAATCTTTGATTTTATTACACATGACCACAACAGACAAACTCTTTAGAGTAAATTACAAGTTTAGTCCCCGTGGTATGTCAAAAGTTATGGGTTTAGTCAAAATATTTCATTTCTTGCACATGTGGTCATTAAAGTTTGGTTTTGTTGCAAAGTTCATCCCTGGTACAAGAAACTGTTTGTATGAGACTAAATCACTAAATGACCATTTTTTATCCTTACATTTCTTTTTTGCAGGATAGAAGCACAATAGTTTTGGATCGACACCTTCTAGCAGAAGATATCGTGTACGTGTTCTTGTGCTGCTATTGTGGATTCGGGAACATCCTTGCTTACTGGTCCAACTGTATGTATCTCACGTGAAGCTTCTGTTAGAACTATTAATCTCAGGGATTTCAAGTTTTTTCATATTTCTTGTATCTAACTAGTTTGCAAATTTTATGTTACAACCTATATTGATTTGGTTTATCTTTCCATGGAATGGTTATTTGTATGTCATTAAATTTTATGTAATGGATTGTATTTTTTGTATATGATATTTTATTTTCTAATATGAGACATTTAAATGAAATTTTAATTTGAAAAATTAGTAAATCTAAAAATAATTTTTTTTAAACATTTAAAATTACGATGTGCAAAAATATGTGCCATCTTCATTTATGACATGGCCTTTCTCGACAGGGGCTTTAATGATATGCAATGCGAGTCGTAAATGCGCGTCGTAAGGTTACGACACGCAAATGTGTGTCGTCTTCATTTATGACAGGCCTTCCTTGATACGCATTGCGTGTCGAAAATGAGCATCGTAAATGCGTATCGTAACTGCACGTCGTAAATGCGTGTCCTAAATAGACGACGCGCAAAAGCGTGTCGTCTTTCGTTATGAGAGGGCCTTCCTTGACATGCATTTGCCTGTCGTCTGAGCATTTTACGACACGCATTGCGTGTCGTAAAAAGCTGTTTTTCTTGTAGTGATGGAATAATAAGTTAGGGTTTTAGCTTTTGTACATTTTCTAGCCATAGAAAAGTCATAAAGGTCGAACCTTTACGACTTAGAATGATGTTTTGAGTCTAGATCTGAATCTGAATTTGGTATTTTGAGTTTAGGTCACTGTCTGTTTTATAAGTGACATGTAGATTTGGCATTTGGAGTAACGTTCTTTTCTACTATCTTTTCAGACTATAAGGCGAGTTTTCCTCACTGTCCTTGTTGGTCGAAGGCACCAATGCCGAGCCATTAGATTATGTATTTTGGTTTAGGATATTGCTATGCGGTAGTGATCTGATGAGATATGCATGTTTATCTGTTTGCTGTTATATATTTATCTGTTGCATATGTCGAAATAGTGTGGTTTGGGTTGAGGTTGAGGTTGCATTGCTTTGTACTGTCGACCAACAAACCCATTGGCAATCCAATCGGGAGATTATGGGCCAGTGGCAATCCAATCGGGAGATTGTGGTCCAGAGTGGCAATCCAATCGGTAGATTGTGGGCCATTGGCAATCCGATCGAGAGATTGTGGGCTAGAGTGGCAATCCAACCAGGAGGTGGGCCAGGGTAATCTAGTCGGCGAGTTGCTTCCATGCTCTCACTCAAATGACCTTCTGAGGTCAGATCTGCTTCCCTAGCCTATAGATATGACCTTCCCAAGCATGATAATCACGTAGAGGTTCGAACTTTAGGCCCATGCATCACACTATCATCTCTATATGCCAAAATATCCTTTAATATGATAACCTAGGCCCCAAAAACTCATAGGGACTGCATAAAGCTGAAGGATAGGGACTCTCTGGACCTCTCAAGGTCCAGATCTGATAATATTGTCACAAGGGAACATCATACACACTAGATCTCTACCAAAATAGAAGAGAAGAAACCGTAGATTCATGAAATCTATTACTCAAACGAAGATGGACATGAATCCTTACCTCTCACAGCAGCTCTGAACGAAATGATGGAAGATTTGAGTCCCACAAGTCAGCCTAGCTCGAAATCCTTCCTTCCCTTTGCTAAAACACACTCAAGAATGATGGATTAGACTTCCTCTTGCACTACAAACTTCTCTCTGCTCTTTAGGGTTTCTCAGGGGAGTAGTGGCCGCAAATGAAGGCCATAAAGGCCTTTAAATAGGGCACAGACCCCGAGATTTAGGGTTTCTGTCCACAGCCCGGACTCGTCGAGTCCACCCATCGACTCGTCGAGTCCCTTCATTAATCCAGTCAGCAAAAACGCAATCCTACTCGACGAGTCTAGGCGTCAACTCGTCGAGTCCCTCCTCAAAACTCAAAATAAATGAATAACATAGAATACCTGGGAATCCGGATGTTACAATTCTCCCCCACTAGAATCAGACTTCACCCTCGAAGTCTCGCTCGAAAAACAACTCTGGATGCTGCTCCCGCATCTCTAACTCCGGCTCCCAAGTCAGCTCGGACCCTCTCCTATGCTGCCACTGGACCTGAACCAGGGGCACCTCCTTGTTCCTCAGAACCTTGATCTTCCGATCTAGGATCACGATCGGTCTCTCAACGTAATTCAATCTCGCATCCACCTGAACATCCTCCAGCGACACTACCGCCGACTCGTCGGCTATACACTTCCTCAACTGAGACACGTGGAATGTATCATGAATCTGGCTCAACTCCGCATGTAGCTCCAAACGATACGCTACCTTGCCCACCCTCGCGGTCACTCTGAACGGACCGATGTACCGGGGCCCCAACTTGCCCCTCTTCCTGAATCGAATCACTCCTTTCCAAGGAGACACCTTCAGGAGTACGAAGTCTCCCACCTGGAACTCCAGCTCGGATCGTTGCCTATCCGCATAACTCTTCTGGCGGCTCTGAGCTGTCAACAACCTCTGTCTAACCTGCTGTATCTGCTCGGTCGTCTGAAGCACTATCTCAGTGCTGCCCATCACGCGCTGCCCTACCTCTCCCCAGCAAGTGGGAGTCCGACACCTCCTCCCATACAACAACTCGAAGGGAGGCATACCAATACTCGAATGGTGGCTGTTGTTATAGGAAAAATCAGCCAATGGTAGGTATGTGTCCCAGCTTCCTCCGAAATCCAACACACATGCTCGAAGCATGTCCTCGAGCGTCTGAATCGTCCGCTGACTCTGTCCGTCCGTCTGTGGGTGGTATGCGGTGCTGAAATGCAACCTCGTGCCCAACTCCTCATGGAATTTCTTCCAGAATATGGAAGTGAAACGTACGTCTCGATCTGACACAATCGAGATCGGTACTCCATGTCGTGATACCACCTCCCTCACATATAGCTCTGCCAGTCTCTCTGCAGAAGAGCTCTCACTAATAGCAAGGAAGTGAGCACTCTTCGTCAACCGGTCGACAATCACCCAAATTGCATCGACACCCCTCATGGTCCTTGGCAACTTGGTGATAAAATCCATGGAAATCTGTTCCCACTTCCACTGGGGAACCTCAAGTGGCTGCAACTTGCCGTGCGGACGCTGGTGCTCGGCCTTAACCCTGCGACAGGTCAAGCACCTCTCAACAAACCATGCAACATCCCTCTTCATACAGGGCCACCAATAATCTTTCTTCAGATCCAAATACATCTTAGTGGCCCCGGGATGGATCGAGAACCTCGATATGTGCGCCTCCTCCATCAAGGTGGTACGTGTCCCGCCTGCATATGGCACCCAAATCCGACCCTGAAAGGTCATAAGCCCTCGGCTATCGGTAACGAACTCAGATACCTGCCCAATCACCCGCTCTCTCTTGCGGTTCTCCGGTCTCACAGCCTCTGCCTGGGCCTCCCGAATGGTGTCCAATACCGGAGTCATCCACCGTCAACCGCATACAAATGTCTCGAATCGGAGCACTCTCTGCCCTACGGCTCAGGGCATCAGCTAGAACATTAGCTTTGCCCGGGTGGTACAGGATCTCACAATCGTAATCCTTTACCACATCCAACCATCTCCTCTGGCGCATATTCAGGTTGGGCTGATCCATCAAATACTTCAAGCTCTTGTGGTCCGTGTATATGGTACACCGAACCCCATACAGATAGTGACGCCAGATCTTGAGGGCGAACACCACTGCCCCCAACTCTAGATCGTGGGTGAGATACCTCGTCTCATGAGGCTTCAGCTGCCTCGATGCATATGCTATCACATGACCCCTCTGCATAAGTACTGCACCCAACCCCGATATCGATGCGTCACAATACACCACAAAATCCTCCATCCCTTCCGGGAGGGCTAACACCGGGGCCTCGCATAGCCTCTGGCGAAGTGTCTCAAACGAGGTCTGCTGCTCCGGACCCCACAAAAAAGCAACACCCTTCCTGGTCAACCTGGTGAGAGGCACGACAATTTTGGAGAAATCCTTGATAAATCTCCGGTAGTAGCCGGCCAATCCCAGAAAACTCCTGATCTCGGTGGGTGATCTCAGCACCTCCCACCTCATAACCGCCTCAATCTTGGCCGGATCGACCAATATCCCATTCTGGTTAACGAGGTGTCCAAAGAATTGGACCTCTCGTAACCAAAAATCACACTTGGAGAATTTGGCGAAAAGCCTCTCCGACCTCAATACCCCGAGAATCTCTCTCAGATGCTCCTCATGCTGCTCCCTAGATCTCGAGTATATATCAGAATATCGTCGATGAACACGATCACTGACCGATCCAACATCGGTCTGCACACCCTGTTCATGAGATCCATGAACGTTGCCGGTGTCTTGGTGAGCCCAAAAGGCATCACCACGAACTCGTAATGCCCATAACGAGTCCTGAACGCCGTCTTCTGGATATCCTCATCTCGCACCCTCATCTGGTGATATCCAGATCTCAAATCTATCTTGGAGAACCAAGATGCTCCTTGCAACTGATCGAACAGATCATCAATCCTCGGTAGTGGGTAACGGTTCTTGACCGTTAACTTGTTCAACTCCCGGTAATCAATGCACATCCGGTGTGAACCATCCTTTTTCTTGACAAAAAGGATCGGCGCTCCCCAAGGTGAGCTACTCGGCCTGATGAATCCTTTCCCCAACAGCTCCTGAAGCTGTGAGGATAACTCCTGCATCTCTGGTGGCGCAAGGCGATAGAGCGCCTTGGCGATAGGCGCCACTCCCGGAACCAGATCGATGCGGAACTCCACCTGCCTCTCGGGAGGCACACCCGGCAACTCCTCGGGAAAAACATCCGGGAACTCGCGCACTATCGGAACATCATCAATCGAACTTGGCCTCTCCATGGCCATTCGCGTATCCATCACATAGGCTACAAACCCGCTGCAGCCCTACTGTAAACTCTGTCTCGCTCTGGCAGCCGAACATAATGCTGACCCACATCGGGTACCCTCGCCGTACACAGAAAGTACTCCCCCACTAGGGTCTCGTATCGTCACCAACTGTCACTCAC